CCCTGGAATACTGGCAAGCTCCAGAGGAATTAGAGTTCATAAGTACAGTTTCCTAGGGCTGTTGATGCTTTGTGTGAGAGCTTAGCAAGTGCCAAGGAGACAGTCAATATACATGTGTATGTGTGTGTGCATATGTGTGTATATATGTGTGTGTGTGTGTGTGTGTGCCCCCTCACACGTGATCTTTCCCCGACCTAGGCCAGGCAAGTACAGATTGCACAGGGAGTCAGGAAATACCCTTCCACTTCATGGCTCCTAGAATTTTAAGGTGCAAATGCTGCTGTAGATTTTATTGTTCCCCATAAATATTATCTTGTTTCCCCGCACATGGGCTGTGCTCTCCCAGGCTTTGCAGGGGAGGCCATGCAAGTCCGGCCTGTTTGTTTTGGCCGGGACTGCTGAGGGATAAAGCAGGGCCGGCACTGGCCCTTCCCTGGCCCTTCCCTGTCCCTTCCCGGCGTGCTGGCAGCCAGCTGTGGGGGAACACGCAGCTGCACGGGGAGCGGGGGGAGATGGCCGGGTCCAGGCACAGCGGCTACAGAGGCTGGAGCAGGAGGTGGGGGGAGTGGTGAAGTAGAAACCCTTTAGCACTGTGTTTTCTCATCCTCCTGCCCACTCAGAGATCCTGGTTTCAGAGAGCTGGAGCGTGGCTGTACAACTGCTGCCTGGCAGGAAAAAGGGTGGAAATTCCTGAAGTACTCCTGATTAGTACTCCATAAGTATTAATCATTTATTTCCTGTTAGTATAATTTAGGTTCTTGAGAGATTTGGGCTGGGCAGGAGGAAGACGTTCTTTGAGAACAAGGGTATTTAAAGCCTGGGTCAGAGGCTCAGATCCCTCTAGACCAGCCTCCCGATTTTATAGATATTCAAACTATAGCCCAGAGAGGTTTGCCGACTTGCCACAGGTCACACAGCTCATTTGATGGTACATATCATGAAGACTTTTTTTTTAAAGTTTTTATTTTAATTCCAGTTAATTAACTTACAGTGTTATATTAGTTTCAGGTGTACAATACAGTAATTCAACACTTCCATAATCACCCTGTTTCAAACCATTAGTTTGTTCTCTATGATTAAGAGTCTGTTTCTTGCTTTCTCTCTCTCTTATTTTTTTCCCTTTGTTTTGTTTCTTAAATTCCACATATGAGTGCAAGCTTATGGTATTTGTCTTTCTCTGACTGACTTATTTTGCTAAGCATTATACTCTCTAGCTCCATCCATGTTGTCTCAAATGGCAGAATTTCATTCTTTTTTATGGCTGAATAATATTCCATTATATATATCTCACATCTTCTTTATCCATTCATCAATCGATGGGCACTTGGGCTGCTTCCAGGTATTCGATATTGTAGATAATGCTGCTGCAGACATCAGGGTGCATGTATCCCTTTGAATTAGTGTTTTTGTATTCTTTGGGTAAATACCTAGTAGTGCAATTGCTGGATCATAAGGTAGTTCTATTTTTAACTTTTTGAGGAGCCTCCATACTGTTCTCCACAGTGGCTGCACCAGTTTGCATTTCCACCAACAGTGCAAGAGGGTTCCTTTTTCTCCGCATCCTCTCCAACACTTACTGTTTCTTGTGTTGTTGATTTTAGCCATTTTCACAGGTGTGAGGTTATCTTATTGTGGTTTTGATTTGCATTTCCCTGATGGTAAGTGATGTTGAGCATCTTTTCATGTTCTTTTGGCCATCTGGATGTCTTCTTTGGAAAAATGTCTATTCATGGCTTCTGCCCATTTCTTAACTGGATTATTTGTTTTTTGGGTGTGGAGTTTGGTAAGTTCTTTATAGATTTTGGATAACCCTTTATCAGATATGTCATTTGCAGATATTTTCTCCCAATCTGTAGGTTGCCTTTTCATTTTGTTGAGTGTTTCCTTAGCTGTGCAGAAACTTTATATTTTGATGAAGTCCGAGTAGTTCATTTTTGCTTTTGTTTCCCTTGCCTCAGGAGACACATCTAGAAAGAAGTTGCTACAGTTGATGTCAAAGAAGCTACTGCCTGTGCTCTCTTCTAGGATTTTTATGGTTTCCTGTCTCACATTTAGGTCTTTATTCCATTTTGAATTTATTTTTGTGTATGGTGTAAGAAAGTCACCCAGTTTCATTCTTCTGCATGTAACTGTCCAGTTTTCCCAACACCATTTGTTGAAGAGACTGTTTTTTTCCCACTGGATATTTTTTCCTGCCTTGTTGAAGATTAATTGACCATATAATTGTGGGTTTATTTATGGATTTTCTATTCTGTTCTATTGATCTATGTGTTTGTTTTTATGCCAGTACCATACTGTCTTGATGACTACAGCTTTGTAATATAACTTGAAGCCCAGAATTGTGATGCCTCCAGCTCTGCTTTTCTTTTTCAAGATTGCTTTAGCTTTTGGGGGTCTTTTGTGGTTCCATACAAGTTTTAAGATTGTTCGTTCTAGTTCTGTGAAAAATGCTGGTGGTATTTTGATAGGGGTTGAGTTAAATGTGTGGATTGCTTTGGGTAGTATAGACATTTTAAGAGTATTTTTCTTCCAATCCATGAGCATGGAATGCCTTTTCATTTCTTTGTGTTGTCTTCAATTTCTTTAATCAGTGTTGGATAGTTTTCAGAGTACAGGCTCTCACCTCTTTGGTTAGGTTTTTTCCTAGGTATCCTTTTATTTTTGGTGCAATGGTAAATGGGATTATTTTCTTAATTTCTCTTTCTGCTGCTTCATTATTGGTATATAGAAACAACAGATTTCTGTATATTAATTTTGTATCCCGTGAATTTTTTTAAGATTTGTTTATTTGAGAGAGAGAGAAAGAGAGAGAGAGAGAGAGTGTGTGTGTGTATGGGAAGGGGCAGAGGGAGAGAATCTTCAAGCAGATTCACCACTGAGTGAGGAGCTGGATGCAGGGCCTGATTTCAAGAGCATGCAGTCCTGACCTGAGCCAAAACCAAGAGTTTGGCCGCTTAACCAACTGAGCCACGCAGGTACCCTTGTATCCTGTGACTTTACTGAATGCATTTATCAGTTTTAGTTTTTTGGTGGTCTTTCGGGTTTTCTACATAGAGTAGAATTTTGTCTGCAAATACTGAAAGTTTTACTTCTTCCTTACTGATATGGATTCCTTTTATTTCTTTTTGTTGTCTGATTGCTGTGGCTAGGACTTCCAGCGGTGTGTTGAATAAACGTGGTGAGAGTGGACATTCTTGTCTTGTTCCTGACCTTAGGGGAAAAGCTCTCAACTTTTCCCCATTAAGGATAATGTAGCTGTGAGTTTTTTGTAAGTGGCCTTTATATGTCGAGGTGTGTTCGCTCTAAACCTACTTTGTTGAGGGTTTTTATCATGAATCGATGTTGAACTTTGTCAAATGCTTTTTCTGCATTTATTGAAATGATCATATGGTTCTCATCCTTTCTCTTATTGATGTGATGTATCGCATTGATTTGCAAATATTGAACCACCCTTGCAAGCCAGGAATAAATCCCATTTGATCATGGTGAATGATTTTTTAAATATATTGTTGAATATTGAATAGTGAATATCGGTTTGCTAGTATTTCGTTGAGAATTTTTGTTCATCAGGGATATTGGTCTGTAGTTCTCATTTTTAGTGGAGTCTTTATCTGGCTTTGGTATCAGGGTAATGCTGGCCTCAGAGAATGAATTTGGAAGTTTTCCTTCCTTTTCTCTTTTTTGGAATAGTTTAAGAAGAGTAAGTATTAATTTTTCTTTAAATATTTGATAGAATTTACCTGTAAATCCATCTGGTCCTGGACTTTTGTTTGTTGGCAGTTTTTTGATTACTGACTCAATTTCTTTGCTGGTTATTGGTCTGTAAAAAATTTTCTACTTCTCCCTATTTCAGTTTTGGGCAGTTTATATGTCTGTGGGAATTAATCCATTTCTTCCAGGTTGTCCCAATCTGTTGGCATATAGATTTTCATAATATTCTCTTATGATTGTTTGTAGAAGTCTCTTTTTTTTAAAGGACTGACTCATTCAGAAAATTTTCACACTAAATGAAAAGCAATTAGCAACTGACTTCTCTGTTTACTAGCTCTGGTCCTTTATGCAAGTCATTTTCCTTCCATGTCCTCCTCTATAAAATGGGACAAATAACACCTTTCAAGACCATTGAACGGATGAATAAGTTGACACGTGTTTGCAATCAATATCAAGCTCTCTCAGGGCTCAGTAAATGCTAGTTCCCTTTTGCTTCCTTCAGTATTCATTTTTTTTCCTTCCTGCCCTTTAAAATCCTTGTAAGAAAAAATAAAATAAATTCACACCTTATTTCATGGACAGGCTTAGCTCAAATCCCTATGGTAAGGCAATGTCAACAGAAATGTCCCAGGCAGCCCAGATATGTCAGTGGCATTGTGAATGGCATCCTGGGAAGGACCTGAGAGCAGAAGCTGAAGTGGGCCTGGGAAGTGGGGAGGGGAGTGGATTTACCGAGGGGAAAGGCTTCCAGATGGAAGGTCAGAAGAGACTCTCTTCCCAGTTAAAAGAAGAAATGTGCTAAAGGAGGGGAGGCGTCTGGGAGATGACAGTGACCACAAGAGAAGAGTAAGATGCTCTTCTCCCGAGAGGACTGGAACGCCATCTGTGGGCGTTGAATTAAGTAAGGAGGCCAGTGACGACTGAATAGCCCACAGATCCCAGGAGGGCAGCAAGCAGGGCAAGTCAGTGCTCCAGGGCAGGAATGGGAGTGTCAGAAAGGTGGGGGCTGCCTGGGGATGAAGTCCAAGGAGAGACACCTCCCCCCACCCCCTGCAACATCGTGAGCTGAGGAAGGACATGCCCAGCCCAGGCAGTGTTTGGCGGCATTGGCAGAGAGGGGCTTGCCAGCTTCATATACCAGCCACCAAATTAGGGATTCTAAAAACTGTTTTATGTTCATTACACTTCTTCTTACAGCTCCTGAGCCAGAGATGCTTGGCAATGGGAAGCAGACTACTTGATTTGCGTAATAGATATTTTCACATACAGCATACATAAAAAACAAAAACAAAAGTGTCATAAAATTTTAATCTGGTCTTTTTGTAGCAGCAGTGGGAAGCACAGAGTTTTCATCATCATGCTATCTCCTGTAGGATCTGTGGAACAAAACAGAACGTTCGCGGAAAAAGAACGTGTTACTGTTAAGCAAAATTGGACCGGGCGACCAAAGAATGCAGACTCGAAGCACCTAGTGGGTGGCCCACCCCTCAAGCCCCATTGGAGCCTAATTCCAGTCTTGGAAGCTTTCCTAGCAGAAAGCTAGGTGGTGACTTTAGCGAAGTCTCCCCAGGCCACATCAGTTTGTGGAAGAGGATGCCATCGCCTTTGACCAGCAGGATCGCTAGATGCTCCTTTCCTCTCACAGATCAGCCCTGGGTAGTCTCCCTATTGTTGTGCGCCTCTCCGCCATGGGGTGGCTCCACTCTGCAGCTTCCTGCCCACCACCCGAGACCCCAGAAGCCAGAGTTGAAATGCTAGGCACCAAGGTGGCACAGCCATCACCCAAATGCCCCCCACACTGACAAGGGGCTCCGAGGTACCAGCCCAGGGCAGGGGTTAGCTTCCACCCAAAGGCGAGAGACGGATTTGCCAATTCTGGTTGCCAAGGATTTGAGGAGGGCAGCATCCAGTGGACAGATGGAAATGCAAACCAGGTACCATCCAACCCAGCCGTCTATGTGAAAGGGCACAGGACAGACAGAGGATCCATCTGGGGGCAAAGCAGCACAGCTGGGAAGAATTCCCCGAGCCCAAGAGCACCGCTCCAACCACTTTTTAAGAGGTGGGAGAAGGAGAGATGAATGTGATTTGGCTGGACAGCCCGTGTCCATTCAATGTTTACTGCCCTTGGCACTCACCCTAGATGAGAGTTCTTGTTCTCTCACTGATGCTACATACAACTCTTACTAGGGTTCCAAAACGAAGTTTAACATACTCTCTGATGAAGAACTTGGATGAGTTCCTAGGACTCTACTAGGAGTCTAGGGCTATTTGTATGTAACATCACCACATCTCTTATCAGAGAAACTTGTCCTCGCCTCGCCCATCCCTGGCCGCCCTCTCTGCCTCAGGGTCCCCCTGCTTGGGGCAGATGGGCATGTGTCCTCCCTGCAATCAGGCGAGCAAATAAAAAACAGAGCAGGTGAAGGGACAGGGCTGTGTTCTGTGAGCCAAAGATGAGGGTTGAGAAGGAGGAAGCCAGGGAGGTAATCCCAGGATAACAGTGGCTTCAGGCTGGCAAGCAGGGGTATGGTCATGAGAGAAATCTGGAACATGGGCTGGAGCCATGACCCTACCCAAGCTTTCCACAGTGGGAGGCAAGAAGAGTCTGCATGTATGGGCCTCCCTGGCCAGGCAAGCCCCAGGTGTGGGCCTCTCCAGATACCTCAGCTTTCCTATCTGGGGCTTCTGGGACTTCTTTCCAGAAGTGAGAACTTATTTAGCGTCCTTCTTAGTTCACGAAAGTAAAGCCTGGAGTTTGGGGACCAGTCATCAATCCTTAAAGTCCTTTTTGCCACTTCTCCCCAGAGGCCTATGAGGTCTGTCGTGCAAATAGGATCTTTAGGCTTCCCTCTTGTTCCTAAGTTCAGGATTTGGGATGTACCTTGCCCCACCCCAGACTTTTATTATTTGACCATGTGGCCATTTTCTTAAACTGCCAGTTAAATTTTTGATAACTATGGCATATAATATAGGTATTGTCACTCCAATTAAGTAGTAAGGCACTTTGTGTTTAAGTATTGAGTGCTTACTATGTTCTAGACCCTTTGCTAACTGCTTTATATAGCTGATGGCATCACATCTACATAACAGCCCTATGAAGTAGGTACCATCATTTGTTATCCCCACTTTTCTGGGGGGACGAGGTGAACAGAAATGTCAATAAAACTAGCCCAAGTTTCTGGCTCCTTGTGTGAGTTGAGCAAATCATAACCTCTCTGTGCCTTAGTCCCCTCATCTGTAAAATGGGATGAATATCAGTTCCTACCTGATAAGACTGCTATGAGAATTAACGGCAGTTATATTTAAAGTGGCCAGGACAGTGCCTGGCCCACACGTGTTCGTTAAATAACAAGTGAACATCTAAATAGCAGAGCTGGATGTAACCCTGGTGGTACGATTTCAGAGCACACATTCCTAACCACTACCCATGTTCTTGTTGATTGTGTCCTGTTCTGTTTCTTCTGAAAAGTTTGGCAGGGCTTTTGGTTTCCACTTTACAAAGACAGGGAAACTGAACTATGGAAGTTCAGGGCTACATGTGAACTTCTCTTCTGGAGAATTCCATGGTGACAGGTCATGTATTCTCATAGGCCAGGTACTGTTCTGAGCACTTTACACATATTAGGTCTTGTACTTCATGTACGGTCTTAGGAGGTAGGTACTGTTATCCATCCCATTTTATAGATGAGGAAACTAAGGCACAGACCAGCCTGCTGTCATATCTATCCTCTACCTGAGACCAACCAGTTCTGCTCCCAGGTCCTGGAGCAGGAGTTCTGGGCTGGTAACCCAGGGACTCAGCACAAAGATATCCCGCTGAGGGACCTACACCACCCCTGTCTCCCCTATTCTGCCTTGGACTATGACAAAGCCTTCCACTGGACCCGAGGTTTCAATAACTGCCCTGGCCTACCATCCATGGGTATATCAGACCTCCCCAGTCTGGTCCATTTCTCGGGTGACCAGCAGTCATTGTTTGCCCAGGAATGCCCCAGTTTTCAAGCTGAAAGTCCTGTATTATGGGAAACTTTTCAGTCCTGGGCAAACCAGGTTGGTTGGTTACCCTGCACACTGCGTAAGCCGGTAGCCACTCTCTGACCCAGTGAAGCTTTGCTCTTGGTGCTTGGTAACCTATGCAGCTTCCTATAGGTCTCCAGAGAATAACCTCTCCTCTCCAAATGATCCCTCAAATTGTCTTAATTTAGCAACAGCTGCATCACATTTTAAATCAAAAGAGCATAAGGTATAATAGGAGATCTTATTTTCCAGATGGAGGAGCTCCCTCAGGTTTACTTTTCTAAAACACACTGATGGACCATAAGCCAGCAGTTTCCTCTGCGCCCTTCACACTTGTCCTACAAAGCTATTATTTTATTTTCCCTCCATGTTTCCATTCTCCCCAAACACTTCTTCTAATGATTTCCTTTCAGCCCAAAGCAAGCGGCAGAATAAAGAGACCTGGGCTTGGCATTAGGGAGACCACATGAGTAGAAGAAAGGACGTGGGCTTTGGAGGCAGAAAGACTAGGTATGGATCCTGTCTCTGACCTGTCATTTTATGTCTTTATGCAAGTTACTTGATCCCCCTGAATATCGTCTGTAAAAGGATCACATGAGAAGATCAGCGATGACGTCTGCAGAGTGACTCACAGGGAGTGGGATGATGGACGCTGAATGGCTGATGGAAGATGCCACAGCTCAAGCCTGGAGGCCCCCATGGACTGGCAGAATCCTGGTCCTAAATCCGAGTTGAGGCACCCAGAGATGCTGCTGGACGACTGATACGTGCCTGATGTGGTCTCTTCGCCAGCTTCTTTTTACCTTTAATGGCAATTCCCTAGGGAAGCCATATTACAAAGTCTCAGGATCCTGTACTCCTTCATACTGCTTTTAACAATCTGAATTCAAAATTTAATTTCTGTCTTCCTCACCTGACCACAAAGTCCCTAAAGGCAGGGACCATGTCTGTCTTGTTCACTGTTGTATATTCAGCAGCCAAATCAGTGCCCAGCACACAGTGGGCGTTCAATAAATGCGTGTTGCGTGAAATGAAGGAATGAATCAAATGACCATCCAAGGTACTGGGGAAAGACCGAATTCTGTAAGGAGGGTTAGGCAGCAATGCGCCACTAGATGGCGCTGTTACCCTGCGTGTGAACTATCCAGCGGGTTTTCTCACACCAAGTATGGGTGGCAGCCTCAATTTCCATTTTGAATTGAAACGATTATGCTGGATTATAACATCTGTCTTTTTTCTCTTTTAAGATTTTATTTTTATTTATTTGACAGAGAGAGACAGACACAGCAAGAGAGGGAACACAAGCAGGGCGGAGTGGGAGAGAGAGAAGCAGGCTTCCCGCGGAGCAGGGAGCCTGATGCGGGGCTCGATCCCAGAACTCTGGCATCATGACCTGAGCAGAAGGCAGACGCTCAATGACTGAGCCACCCAGGTGCCCCTATAATATCTGTCTTTTATTGAGCATCACGGCAGGCAATTTTACAATATATTTTCTACAGTTCTGACAATAACCACAGGATAGAGTATCTCATTTTACCGATGAAGAAATGAATTCCCAGTAATTTTAAGTAACTTTTCTAAAGATCCACAGCTGAAGGCCCTGATGTGTTTGGCCTCCAAGCCTGTGTTCTTTTCAGTTTACCCCCACGGCTTCCCCTCCAGCAGTCTGATGTAACCAATGAATAGCCTTCCCACTGTGATAGGTACCCACCCTTCCCCCCCTTTTGTCCTCACAGCTGGTGGTTTGTCACATATCCGATCACTTTCCACACAGCCTTTGCTTTCTAAAAGGTCAATTTACAGGGAGGGGAGATGACCCAGCAGAACAGACTCAATGTTTCTTAGACCAGAGGTTTGATTTAAGTCTTGAGCTCATGGATGGGTTAGGTGTAATGTTCTGAGGAAGGAGGAAATAACCTTCAATTTATCAATCAGTCATCAATAGTTCTTCACTCAGCATCTGTGTTGCACACACAGGGTTACGATCTGGTTGGGCGTATAAGACATGCATGTATGGGACGTAATACACTGCCATACGCAGGTGCCTTGTGGAGATATATGCAATAAGAGCACTAGGCATTCAGAGGCCAGAAGGATTCCTGTGACTGGGGTGGTCACAGATCTCAAAGTCAGGCTTGACCTTCACAGGAAATGCATTTTGGGAGATAGGGGGCAAGTAAACTGGTCTCTCTCTACAAAAGGTGTGGACCAAGGACCAGCGGGTTTGACACCACCTAGAGCTTGTTAGAAATGCAGAATCTCCGATCTGGCTTCAGATCTCATGAACCAGAATCTGCATTTTAACAGGCTCGCCAGATGATTTGCACACATTAAAGACTTTGGGGGACCAAGTATTTGTATTTATATGTTCCTTTAAAATGAAGTAATACTCTAAAACACTCTTTAATTTCACTGTTTAGTTTTAATTTTGGACTTAGCTTTTCTCCTACAAGAATGGTACTAAATATTCTTAAACTTCTGCCATTCCTCTCTACAAGAACCTATGGAGATTCCTACTAGCTAAATTTTCTGGGGCCTGGTGATTTACTAACTGGAAGGAAAGTTCTTATCCAAAGCACTTTTCCAAGTATTTGTGCAATGAGAATTGCTCAAGAAACTAGGCCTTGAAAAATCCTAAAGGATTTTTTGAATCAAATCACTAAAGGAAGTTTACCTTATGTTCAATGCAATTTTGGTACATTCTAGTTCTTTGCAGTTGGTTAACCTGTGTATGGCATATGATGAAACCATCATACTGGATCAAGTCTCATCAGGCCACTCCCTACCCCCTTTCACCTATCATTCTGTGTAAATGAAAGTTGTCAGAATGTAGAATCCGTGATAACTGTGATAAAGTTAGAACTTAGACACTAGCATATTGACAATACTTGAGTTCCCATCTCAATAAGAAGTGATGATGCCCCGTGTCTAATTGTGGCCCTATTTCTCTTCTTCACTTGTGGAAGTTGGGTGAGTCCATTCAGAAAGGCAGCCTGGTATATAGAAAAAGAGCATGAGACAGCTAGGTGAGACCACATGGGCTCTGGTCTGACATGCATGAGCTGTGTAGTGTCACCTCTTTAGGTGTCTCTTCCCCGGGCGCCTGGGTGGCTCAGTTGGTTAAGTGACTGCCTTTGGCTCAGGTCATGATCCTGGAGTCCCGGGATCGAGTCCCGCATTGGGCTCCCTGCTCAGCAGGGAGTCTGCTTCTCCCTCTGACCCTCTTCCCTCTCGCGCTATCTCTCATTCTCTCTCTCTCAAATAAATAAATAAAATCTTTGAAAAAAAATAAATAGGTGTCTCTTCCCCATCTATCCCCTAGGAGGTGGAACCAGGTAATTGCTAAGATTCCTTCCTGGTTTAGCATTATATGAGCCTAGTTAACTAGGAGTTAGAGCATGGGTAGTTATTCATTAAACTCAGATTATATATCCCCAAATAGAAATGGCCCACGTTGTCTTTACTTACAGATATAAAAGTTGAGAAGGCTGGTTACCATAGCAATTCACCTTCACGGAGTCATTTTATAAGTTCGATTCTGTAAAGTGACAATATTATGTACTGGCACCTGCAAACTCCCTAATGTTTCCCTTGCTTCCATTCTTGCTCCGGGCTATGGTGCCAAGAGTTGTCCTAATCTGGAGAAGCAATCAGAGTTCTCAAGCTGCCTTTCGGTCTGCTAGAACAGAAGGTGCTGACAGGGTGGGAGGAAAGGCAGGCCTCCTTTCAGTTTACTAATTCTGCAGCCGCCCTTCACAAACGCCAGCAAATATTTTGCGATGTTGCAAGGTGTTACGAGAAGTGAAAAGCAAGCTGTGATTCAGCTGGTATGAAGACTTCGCAAATAAAAAAGAGTGATCTGTTTTGCAGCAAACTATTATTTCTGCCAGAGCCCACAGACTGGAATACTAAAAGAGGTATTTCTGCAAGACACTGCCATCATACATAGTGGGTTTTCCAAATAAGACCAATTTCAAATTCATTGGCTCAGCAGGCCCCCCCACCTGTGGCCCTCAGACCCCTGGGAGCTGTGGGATTACCTCAAGGGGTGTGCATGTTCTTTCTGTAGACTGGAAATATGCTCATCCACATGGATTGTGTCTCAAATATGCGTCAATGTTGTAATGAATAAAAGAAATTAACTTACAATGTTACTAAATATATCTTAGCCTTTTGTTATGTAGTTTCTTAATCAACTGACGTTAAAATTAGCGTTAGTTTCATGTTTAACTTTAAGAAAAAAATTTTTCTTGGTGTTGAAATACAGCTTCACACTTGTCAGATCACTTGACTTGATCCTGGTTCAGAGAATATGGACACCTTACCAGTAGGAGAGACCCTTTCCTCCAGTTATTGGCTTCAGTCTCAAGACGTATGTGGATAATATATTCACAATTTGGTTTCTAAAACCTGAGAACCTGTTAGGAAGCCATTTAAATGGTTAGTTGAGCACTGCTCCTCTCAGAAATGTCATCTGAGAATATAAGCTATAAGCAGTGGGTACATTTCTTAGGCCACAAATTTATAATAAGAAATATAAGCTAATTTTTATTTCTAGCTGCCATCTCTCTGCATTATCAGAAATTTAATCTGAGTGAGCCTGTAGATTTTCACCTCTTCTTTTCCTGGGATTGTGTCTAGTTTCTGGGAGGGCCTTATGAGGTGCCACAGTATGCAGTGATGTTGGCGGGGAGGCAGTGGAGGCAGTAAGGAACCTGGTCCCCATGTCATCCTTCCACACCGGTATCTATTGAACCATACTGTTTCGTGACCTCTTCAGGTCCAAGAGCACCGTCCGTTTCTCCAGCGTCCTCTTAGGCACAAGGAGATGTGCTTCCATGTGGCCTTGAAGAATTTGCAAGCCTGCGAAGGGGCCCTTCAGTGGGGGCCCACCATGTACCCATTTCTTTTCTGAAGTCTTTTTTTTTTTTTTTAAGATTTTATTTACTTGCCAGAGAAAGAAAGAGAGCACAAGCAGGGGGAGCATCAGACAGAGGGAGAAGCAGGCTCCCCACTGAACAAGGAGCCTGATGCAGGACTTGATCCCAGGACCCTGGGATCATGACCTGAGCCAAAGGCAGAGACTTAACTGACTGAACCACCCGGGGCGCATCCCATCTTTTCTGAAGTCTTGCAACCTTCCTGAGGCTCTGCTGAGGATACAAGAAACATGTCTTCTCTATTCCCAGACCCCATAAAAACATCTGGGATTGCACCACCTTCCCTAGGTGAGCCTGTGGAGTAACACACAGGACCCAGCTTTGATGTCTTTGCTCTTGGTATTTGCCCAGGAATTTACTTCATCCCCCTCCAGGCACAGGGAACTCTTTTCTATCCTCATTAGCTTTTCCTCCAAATATTTTGTCTATGCTGCTAGGTTTTTTCTTCTTCTTTCTCCTAAGGGCAGTTTCTGGAATCAAAAGCCAGGAAGACACGCTTCTTTCTCTGCCTCTTGCTGTCACATCCCTCCTCTGAGATAAGAACCTTGAACTAGGCCAGCGGCCTGAAGGGGGAGAGTAAATACAGGGTAAGGGATCCGCTGATATTATGCTGCCACATCAATAAATTAATAGAGCTTTCATGGGTCCAGGGCCTGCAAGAGAGGAAGTCAGCCCTAAATGAAATCAGATACTGAGCAAAAAGTGAACTTTGATAGAATAATTAAAATAAGACCTCCAGCACCAGAGCAGTTTTTCTATAGGCTCTTCACATCTTGTGCAGGGTGGAAGCCAGAACTAAGTGACCTTTAGACATGATATTGAAATATAAAGGGATCTTCTTTAAGGATGGGGTGAACGATGAACTCCACAGTGGCACCAGTCCAACCGGGGTGTTGGGAGAGGAAGGGTAGGCTAGGAAGAAAGGGGCAGCAGCTGCACACCTTGAGGCTCTCTCACTCATGCCCTTTCTAGAACTTTCCTGCCTCTGGAGCTGTTGGTAAGGCAGTTGTCTCTGACTCCGGTGTTCCTGCTCCAAGCAGATCTGAAGTCCCTTCATTCACTCAAAACCATTGACTTCCTACGCTGAGCTGCATG